AGATGGTAGAACTGTATTCTGATTCAGGAAGTCTGATTTATATTGACTGCTGACTCATCTGGGCCTGTTTATTATCTGCAAGGGCAAAAACTTGTCTTACTCATTCTAATTTAAGGAGACAGCTTTTCCTCTGCCATGCACATTTATTCCCTTGTAACCGATTGGGCCTTTTTTTTTATTTTTAGAGTTTATCTGTAGAGAAAGTTTGCAAAAATGTAAAATATACGGGGGGATTCCCTCTTTTCCAGGTACCTTTTGTTTTTCTGCTCCAGCTTTTTCAATCTGTTTAACAAAATGCAGGCTATGTGGGGTATTGAAGTGTATCTGTTTTCTGGAAAATGTTATCTGCTTAAAATCTGCGTGGTGATGATACGCAGCTGATCGGTGACCCTTCTTCTGGTATGTTCAGCCCCTTATTTTTAAAGTTGATCACACAGTGTTCTGTGTTCACATATACATATTTTCGTTTCAGTTTAGAGTTTGGAAGAAAGCAGGGAGGCAGCAAAAAGGAGCAAGAAAGAAAGCGGTTAATTCACAAACATAAACGTGAATTTAAGGGAGCCGTTCGTGAGATCCGGAAGGACAACCAGTTTCTGGCTAGAATGCAGCTTTCAGAAATCATGGAGAGGTAACATAGCCCTTGCTTCAGCAGTACTTTAAGAGTTGTTATTCTGTGTGTTCATTTCTTTGCTGTGTGAGGAGATTGAAGTGATGATAAACAGTATTAAACTTGGAAAAAAAAAAGGAAAGTTTGGGGGAAACGAAAATTTTCATTAGAGATCATTTTAAATTTTGACTTTGTAGTTTCATTTCTCTGGATAAGAACATGCAGAAAGTTCTTAACTAAAGTATTTGGTGACATCTAAGATTTGTGGGGCTTCTTATAGATGAATATGGATAGTCTAAATGTACTTATTTACTTTCCCTAATATAATCCTTCTGAAATATTTAACACATTAATTGCTTCCTTTGCAGAGATTCAGCCAGAAAGCGAAAAGTGAAAGAGCTTCTTGGTAGTCTTGCTACACAGGAAGGTGAATGGAAAGCTATGAAAAGGAAAAAGGGGAAGAACTAACTGGGACTGTCTACACACAGAAAGTTTGGTTTTACTGGTGTATAAAATACCACGATTGTATGGCTTTTGCACAGACTTTAATTGCATCCTTTGGATGCATTCCTTTTGAGACAAATAACATCATCAGATCTGTCTGAAAAAGTGAAAGAAAAATAAAAATAACGCTTTTGTATGTGTGTGGTATATTTCTGTTTATTTTAATAACAGTATCTGGATGAGTAATCAGAATTATCAGTGTTTATTTCTATCGTAAATCACACAAATATTGTACAAAAAAATCTTGATACCTCTTTAATATTGAATAATTGCAAGCAGCTCTCATAGTGGTAATATTCTTGAAGCTTTAACAGTAATACTGTAACTATTCTGTAGCATTGTTCATTCTAATTCATGGTTTTGGTGGAGTAATGGAGTTGCTTTTCAAGCACTTTTTTTCAAGTCCTTTATTAAAGTTGTGCATCCATTCATCTCTTCAGTGATTTTTGGATTGAATTGAGCTCTCAAATTCTTGGTTATCTAAGGCAGTAAACTACAATTCCTCAGCATATTTGTAAACATCTGATTTAAGCTCACAGTAACCTCTTTAATTCTATTTGTTTTATCATATATGTGTAATTCACTGCCTAGCATAACTGTGGAAAATATCTGCTTTTCAAGTAGAGCCAGTAAATACTTCTTTTTAAAATACTGTGCTTGTGAGGAAACATTGAATTGAAACAAAGAACACTACAGTTGTTTGAAGGTGCTAGTCTAAACTAGGTCGTAACTCAGACATTCATTGTGATCTGTTGATAAATCTAGAGACAGGGTTGTTTTTTTTTTTTTTGCATGAAAGAAAATGACAAGTTTTGAAGGAAAGCATTACAAAAATTAAATCCTCTATCACAGTAACATTTGAGGATCAATGCAAAGAGCAAACTAGAAAATCTTTAGAACAAATGAAATAATTAGCCAGGGTTCCTTACGAAAACCCCATCAAGAAAGAAAAACACCAGAAAGCACTCTTCTGGCCAATGGGTAACTCAGGAATGGTAACATCTACTGTTGGTGAAGAAAGATTTGCTGGAAGTAAATCTGATTTTACAGTTCTTCTTGTTTCAGATTGTCTTAGAAAGTTTTGCTTGTGCTGTTTTTCCAAATGAAACCTGGAAGCATGACTAAAACTAGGAGGGAGTGAGTTAAACTCCTCGGCTTTGAATTTAAACTCATGGCTAAACTATCTTTGTAAGGTAAGACTTAAAGATTTACCTATGTATGTTTCTTAAAACAGTATTCTTTCTTTGAAGATAGTAGCTTTGACTGAATCTCATTGCAACTGTAACAAAGTAATTAATGTGTGAACATCAAGTCTACAAAAGCAATACCAGTATTAAAACGGGCTGGATACTGAGTACCAGTGGGGGGGTACTCTTGTCACATACAAACGAGGTATCTGTATTTGAAATCTACTCATGCTTTTGAAAACAAAATGTATTTTCAGTTCTCCTTTCCAAAATCAGTAAAGCTATCTCCAGAAACTTCAAAGAGATCTCAGCAGATCAGTGTGCCTCCTGTTTTGTTTCCATTTGGCACAGCGTGGAGGTTTTTTTTTTCCTTCCTTTGTCCAAAATAATAAAAGATAGATTATCATTATCTTAAAAAGTATATATGTATATATACTGCTTGGTTCAAGACAAGAACTTCAGCGTGAAGCAATGAGGAAGAAACCTAACTTCTTATTTCAGATTATAAATCAGCATTTTCCATCTTCAGTTTTTGTCCTTTGCACAATTAAACTGTCAAATAAGTATTAGAGTTTATCTGGCTTTATTTTCCAACAGCAAGTAGCTTCAAGAGGATTTGCACAGCTGGGTATTAAAATCACAGAGAGTCTGACAGCTGCATTTTGATCCCGGGGCGGCAATTTTTGATACCACTTGCAGCTGCTTATTATTCCACCATGAAAGAGAGAAGTAAAAAATAGATGTGAATAAGATGGGATGGTAGTGTTTGTGGAAGAGGCCGTTTATTGGGAGGAGGTAAGGAGAAAGGATATCTTAAGATTCTGAGGAGAGAAGATAAAGGACAGGGAAATCTCAGCTGATAAATTCATGCAACTGTTTTTGCTAGATTGAAATCAGAAGTACTTGAGATGCCGGGTGAAAATTACTGTGTGCAGTTTAAGAAAGGGTATTGTTATATCAGATTTAGTATTATATACCATTATATAATAGTAGTGCATAACATGTAGTGGTTTATGTGCACAGAAATGAAGGATTGCCTCAGCTTAATGATCAGCGTGGTCCAGTTGTTTTCCATGCTAGGCAGATGTGGTGATACCACCTGATACAACAGAAGGTGCTAAGAAGTTCTGGGCTTTCATATGAACAAGATTAACTCATCAAGTTTCTTGAACACATTCACCAATTACTCTGTTGTCTCAGTGTTGCTCTTAAAGCAGGAATTGTCATAACAGGCCTTTTGTGATGCATCTGTTGTGAATTTTAAATCTGTTACTAATTAAGGGGGAAAAAAAAGAAAAAGAAAAAGAAAAAGAAAAAGAAAAAGAAAAAGAAAAAGCAACCAAACAACCAAAGCTATTCTGAAACTACAATCTCAACATGAGACACACAAAGAAGGAAAATTACCTTTTTGCCTTCAGTTCAACTGACTGTTCAAGGTAGTTTACCTGTCAACATCAGCTGTCCCAGAGAACAGCCATTCTAAATATGAATACTGTAAAGGAATGGGGAGAGAGAACAAAACTGTTCAGCAAGAAATTGCATAAGTTAACCTTATTTATGCAAATATGAAAGCTTTTTCTTTTTTTTTTTTTTTAATCAAAAGTTCAATCTTCTGGTTGCCAGTTGGAAGTTAGCATGCAGTTCAGTGTTACCAGTCACGTCATTTCATGTAAGCTATTGCTTTCCACCACCAGCATCTGCTGTGTTGAGGCACTGGGGATGCTTCAAACTCAACAGTAAGCTTATTGAAAAACAACTGTGCTCCTACTCCTGCTGGGCAGAGCTTGATGTCTTCAAGTATTTGGCATAGTACTAATATTCATTATGTGATACTCTGATGTGCTATCTTGAATGCTATGTACAAAACTCCTTTGTTCCTACTGAACTGGGTATGTGAATGCCCACATAAGCAAGAGAAGACAGCTTTCTGTTTGACCTAATTGTTAATCCTGGTGTCACATTTAGGTTAGATTTGGGTAATCTTGTCTATTGAGGAATCTGCAATGCACTGTCAGGTGTGAGGTCCCCATTTAAGTGTTCTTAAGTATAAGCCCACATCACCAGCAGGAACACGTTTCCTTGAAGGGAACAAGAAGGTCTTTTAAAAAACATATTGCTTTATTTCTTTACATAGTTAAGATGATGAAGATGCATGTTTTCAGTAGGCTTGTGCCCACATACTTGCGTTTTATTCCAGCAGGGCAGAGGCCAGGAATAGTCAGACAGCAGAACAGCTTTGGGCAGTGGCATTAATACCATATCCACATTCTTTGTGTTCTAAAACTCGGTGTTCTGGAGGAGCAGTTTGCTTTAGGAGCAGTCCCTTTAGAAATAAAAGGAACTTTGCCATTTTCTGCTGTTCAGACAGCCGGAAATCTGGGCGTACCAAAACCTGGCTAACCGCTGCTGTCTAACTGTAGCAATAGTAGAACGTCTTTCTCCTCTTGGAACAGCCGTGCTCTCGCTTCCAAAATCGTTAACGCAAGAAGGAACTGCTGCAGCGTGAGGTAAAGATTTCAATCACAACATGCCGTCCTTAGTTGTGACTGAAGGCCGCTGTAGCGGCGCTCCTCAGCAGCTCGGCGCTCCGTTTGGGCGCTGCGGCGGCGCGCGCTGAGGGGCGGCCGTTGCTCCCTCACGGAGTCAGCCCGGCCCGGCACGGCGGGAGGCGGCTCCTCCTCAGGGCGCCCGGCAGCATCCCCGGCCGGAAGAGGAAGGCCGCCGGGCGCCGAAGAGAGCCGGGGAGGAGCCGCCGCCCGCAGCATCCCTAGGGACGGCTCTCGGCGGGCGGAGGAGCGGTAGGTGGCCTGGCGCGGGGCTGGCTCTGCCGGAGGGTGGGAGGGAGAGAGAGACGGAGGGCGGCCTCGCCTCGGCGGCACTGCGGCTCCCGGCGGCGCTGCGGGGCACTGCGGCTCTGCCCGGGCGGCGGCCGGGACTGCGGGTCCGCGCTGAGGACGACGCGTCTCCGAAGGGCCGCCCCTTCCCCCGCTCGGGTTTCCTCTGCTTTTGTGCCGCTCTGGGAATTTTTTTATATACTTTTTTTTTTTTTTTTTTTTTTCTTCCCCTGGTTAAAAAAATTCCTCATTTAACCTGAGCCAGGACTTTGTTAAACACTCAGAGGAGCCTCCCCAAGGCTCGGGTGGGTTAAAGGCAGAGCTGGGCGATTTCAAGAAGGTTGGTAAGGGAGTATCAGGTGGTAGAGATATCAGGAACGTGGAACATCCAAGGAGCAGATCTCCTTCCTGCATTAAACCGTGACTCACAAAGATCAAATGTTACGGTCGAGGTGAAGTGCTTTGTTTTTGCTGACGGGATGCCGGGGCCTAATAAAATGTTTTGTGGTTTCCTGCCTAGCAAAAAAAAAAATAAATAAATAAAATAAAATAAAGTAAAAAATGGAGAGATTGGAACAACAAAAGCAGTGGAGCACAAAGGCAGAAAGATGGAGTGCTTTGGAGGTTGCATAAGGGAAACAGCAGCCATGTAGCCCAAACTCCATTCCCTGAAAGGTCAGTGCTGGCATCAGCAGGTTCAAGCTGCACACAAGCTGAAATGGCAGTGATTTACGTGTAAAGGATGTCGCCCTATGTAAAGAACATTGCAGTAAAGTTCAGCTTGGTGATTCAATTCTGTGAATGAACACACAAATTGTTAGGAAAAATAAGATAGACGTTGCCATGGTTAACCCATCCCTTGGCTAGGCAGATGCAGAGCCAAGGATTATGTCTAAACAAATGGCTGCTTTGGGTTCCAGAGATTCTTAAGTCATTTGGATAAATAAGTACTACTAAATATTTGTAGTGTTGATGACATATCATTTTAAATAAAAGGATATTGCGTGAAGTTTAAAGTGCCAAATTCTGACCCCGAGAAGAGACAACCATGGCTCTACGTACTGAATGGGGGATGAGACTCAGGAGGGCAACCCTGCTGATGGAGATTTGGGAGTTTACTGTGTCCAGTTTGGCATACCACAGTATGAAAAGAACATAGAACTGTTAGAGAGTCTCCAAAGGGGAGCTACAGAGATGGTGAACGGTCTGGAGGGGAAGACATGTGAGGAGCAGCTGAAGTTGTTTGGTTTGTTCAGGCCAGAGCAGAGGAGCTGAGGGGAGGCCTGATGGCAGCTGCAGCTCCTCATAGGGAGCAGAGGGGAGCACTGAGCTCTGCTCTGTGTGACAGCAACAGGGCTGAGGGAACTGCATGGAGCTGTGTCAGGGGAGGGCAGCTGGGGGTGAGGGAAAGGGTCTGCACTGAGGTTGGTGGGCATGGAACAGGCTGCCCAGGGCAGTGGGTGCAGCCCTGAGCTGCTGGAGCTCAAGGAGTGTTTGGACACCACTCTGACATAGGGTTTGGGTTTGGGAGGTCCTGTGTGGAGCCGGAAGGTGGGCTCCATGATCCTTGTAAGTCCCTTCCAACTTGGGATATTCTATAACTCTATGGTCTTGAACACAACCAAACTGCTCTGCTCACTAGCAGATTTAAATGTATTATGCTAACTTAAACAGATTGCATGTGGCCCCCTTCCATGGTTACCTCATGGTGTTTGAACTTTAACAACATTTCAGTGCTGGTAAATTGAATCCACAAGTAAGGAAATGTCATGAAAATATTTATAACTGAACATAACAAAGTGTTAGATCTTTAGTTAGTATAGCAGGATGTTATATACACATTGACTTGTATGTAGAATACGGTGTCTTGTCTAGGATAGGATTTGTATAAAAATGTGCTCAGTGTTTTCTGTCCTGATTTATTAAAACCAATGGGTTTATTGGTATTGAAGGACTTTCAGCTGAATTTAATAGTTTCCTTTTTTCCTCTTTTAATGTAACAAATAATCAGGGATTTTTGCAGTAGATGGGGCTTCACTGTCTTATCACTGAGATGTACTGTAATGTTTTACAAACCTGCAATTCACAGTTTCGTGGTTTTTTGTATGGCTCCATGTGTTTGATGTCTGTTGAAGTGGAAGTTTTTCAGAATATGGACTGACTTTTTTATTTGTTAAATGAACGTCTGCATCCTTGTTTAGGCTTTTAACACTGTTTTGGAATGTTTTCAAAGAAAGAGTTCCTTCTGATAGTTCTGATAATTCTGACAGGGTGAAATGCTGCCTCAGTCATTTGGTGCCCCAATTCGTATCCTGTCAGTGGCCGTCAGGCAGAAATTAAGAAGAGAAGTTTTCAAAAACTGCTTGTTTCTGAAGTATCTGCTGCTGTCCAGCTGTAAGGATTTGTCCCGAGGGCAGCATTCCTGCAGTAGTTTGGAAGTTTACCTTCTTTTTTTTTCTTTTTTTGTTTTCAAGTGATATTATCATAGTCATTTACAGTGTACTCTGAAAGTGTAAAAAGTCTATTAGTTACTTGAATGCAGATAATCAAAATGAGAGCACCTTGTCTGTTTTAAAGCAATGCTGTGTTTAAAACATTTGGTAAAGCTTAACAAACTTTAAATGCTCCTTAGTCCTAGGCTATATTTGGGACGTTAATCTAAGAGGGTTCATAATCTTATTGCCTTTGTTGCTTGGTTTTCATGAGGGTAAATTTGGTACAGAGCTAAGAACTAAGTCTAGAGAGATGAAGTCCTGTTCCCTTTGAAAACCAGGCAGTTTAATATAGCCATAACTTATGTTTATTATTATGAGACCCATAAAAAGCAAGAATGAATCAGTAAAATACTGTTATGAAAGGCCTGCAAAATGCTTTCTATCTTTCTGTTAACCAGATATAAATGTAATTGTTTAGGATCAGAGCACTTGGGAACATGGCTCTGAGAGAGAGAGAAGCCAGCAGCAGCTCCGCTGATGACAAGCAAGAGCAGAACTGCAGTCGTGTTATTACGATTGTCTTCCTGGCACTCCTCATCGACTTGTTGGGATTCGCTCTCATCTTGCCGTTGTTTCCTTCCATCCTTGATTATTACAGCCAGACTGAGGTAAGCAATAGAGGAAGGCAGCCTGCTCAAAATGTTAGGCATGAGACATTTAGGGAAGGATAGAATAAAATTCCTTTGTTTCAGGGCAACCCAAATAGCTGTAGGCAGAACAACATCCAGCACATTTAAACTGTTCGTGGAGTGATGATTTTTTATTTTTTTGTGAACTGAGGTAAGGTTCCTCTTTCTTGCTATTTCACTGAAATTAGAGATTTGTTCTGAGGGAAAATTCAGTTATTTCCTGGGGGCTGTCCTTTGTAATTACTTTATACTGGTCCTGGCTCTTCCTATTCGTTTGATTGTTGCAGTGATCTTCGTCTCATCTAAAAGATGAATGCTTTCATGTAGCATAATGTGTGTTGCTTTTGAGTGCTGTTTAGTTCTGAAAACGGATATAGAAGATCTGGCTGCAGTATAAGATGCACTTGTATCTAGCTGATAAATTTGTTTGCCCCAGGCTTGTTTATCAAAACAAAGAGCCAGACACTAATGCCTAAATGCATGATGTGCTCTGTAATCGAATCATACATTATGGTATGCAAAATCCATCCCTTATCATCTGGCTGCTGAGAGCAGTGGTAGCAGCAAGAAGTCCCTGAGAGGTTTTCGTAATTCATTCACCAGCAGTAGCTGAGGACTGGATTGGGTGGAGTGGATGGGCTGAGAGCTGGGCTGACGAGAACTTCCTGAAGTTCAGCAAGAGGTGCCAAGCCTGCAGCTGGGGGGAACAGCCCCAGGCACCAGGATATGCAGGGGACACCCATCTGGAAAGCAGTTCTGGTGGACACCGAGTTGAGCATGGAACAGCGCCTTGCCCTTGCTGCCAAGAAGGCTAATGGTATTCTTAGCTGCTCTAGGCAAAGCACTGCTGATGAAGAAAGATGATCCTTCTGCTCAACTCAGTGTTGCTGAGGCTGCATCTGAGTACTGTGTCCAGCCCTGCACTCCCCCAATACAAAAGAGCCATGGACTTGCAGAAAAAGTCCAGCAGAAGCCTCCAAGATGACCACGGGAGGAAATGGCACACCTCTGCTATGAGGAAATGCTGAGAGCTGGGACTGCTCAGCCTGGAGAAAAAGAAGCTCGGGGGATTTCATCAATGTCTATAAAGACCTGTACCTGAAGGGAGAGTGCAAAGAGGATAGAGTAAGCTTTATTCAGTGGTTCCCAGTGCCAGGACAAGAGGCAGTGGGCACAAACAGGAACACAGGAGGTTTTATCTATACATCAGAAAGCACTTCTGTGCTTCGTGGGTGGTGGAGTGCTGGTACAGGTTGCCCAGAGAGGTTGTTGGGTCACCTCTTAGGAGATTCTACTTTCTCCCACCCCCAGCATCACATTCACTATTTTCAACATCTGTTCTTAGAGGAGAGATGACTACTATCTAGGAATGAAGGGCAAAAAGTCATATTGTTTCATGCTGTGCAGCTGCTCATGGCTTCCACTGTCAGGTGTTTGTTAGCACATAAGATGAAGTTGTCAGGGGAAAATTATTTTTGCAGCCCACACCTCTATCTCACAGTCCCTTTCCAGCCGCACTCCAGCTGCAGCTGTAGGTTTGTCTTTCCTCCTATTCTGTCTCTAACCCTAACTGTAACCACTGGGATCTTCCCCTGCTTCCAAAGTATTTCTTCTAGCCAGGATTTTCACCTTTTTTTCCAGGACCCTCTTTTCAAGCCCTCCTCCTCATCTCAGCAACCATTCTTTTTCGCTCCATCTCTTCATTTCTGTGGAGCTAACACCCCTGGCTCTCCTAGTCTAGATCATCTGTACTCTATCTGTAGAGGGATAGAGTGTCTCTCGGGCTGCTTTATTAATTGAAGGATGTGGAACATGCCATTTTTAGTCTAGATTTTATGAGCAGTGGGACCGATAGTTTAAAAAATTCTAATCCAGACATCTGCCCACCCAAAGACATATCCTCAGTCACCTGTTCCATGTTAGCATTCACAGTTTAAGCTATTTTTAGCCTATGACAACAGGAAATTTTCCCTGGGAGGAGAAGGAGAGGAGGAATCATTTAACATCATGACTAGTTCACTAAGCTCTGATGCTGTCTTTGGAAATAAAGCAGAGAAACAGTCTTCCTGCTTCTATTTCCCAGCTATCTGTTTTGCAGGATGGATTCTATTTGTCATTGCAACGTGGTGTGGACTGGTTTGCAGCAATGGTTGGAATGCCTCCAGAGAGGAAATACAACAGTGTCTTGTTTGGAGGTATGGAATTAAAAAATAAAAATAAAAGTTAAAAAAAATTGCAGTACTTTCAAGTTACCTCAATGTTGTTGTGAGGAATGATGAAAAATTGACCAAAAACAAACAAAAACGCACAAAAAAGTCATCACAAGTAGCATACTTGCATCTCTTGCAGTAGACTAAAAATGATTTTGTTTTTGTAAAACTAACAAAGATGAATTATTTGGACAGCACTTCTCTGTCATTTGGAGGCATCTAGACAGGCAGGAGGAATGGTCCAAGAAGAACTTTATGAAATCCAGTGAAGACAAAGTGAGGTCCTGCCCTCAGGAAGGGCTAGTCCCTGTTGTTGATGTGGGCTGGGCACTGACTGGCAGGGAGCAGCCTTGCTGAAGGGTCCTCAGGGTCCAGGTGAGCAGCAAGCTGAGCCTGCAGTGTGCCCAGCAGCAAGGGCACCAACAGCACTTGGGCAGTGTGAGCAGGAGCAGAGCCAGCAGAGGGAGAGAAATGCTCCCTCCACTCAGCACTTGTTAGTACGCATGATGTGCACTGTGTACAGTTCTTACTCCTCAGTACAAAGACGACATCCATAAACTGCAGTGAGTTCAGCAGAGGACTGTGAAGATGGAGAGGCTGAGGCAGCCTAGAACTATTGGCAGCCTTACAGTAATAATGGAAGGGTTGACGTGAAGGCTGTGAGGCTCTTTACTGAAGTGCATGGTAGCTGGAGAGGCAGCAAGGCATAGGTCTGAAGGAAGAGATGTTCGGGCTGGAAATAAGGAGAAACTTTCACAGCGATGATGGTCAGTGGAATGAACTGCCCAGAAAGGTGTTGTGGTCTCCATCCTCAGAGGTTTTCAAACTCTGACAGGATGAACCCGTGAATGACTCAGTCTGACCTCAGAGTTGATCCTATAAGCCACTGGAGCTGACTTTTTTTCAGGTCCCTTTTAACCTGAATTATCCTAATTTGTTCTTCAGATTGCTTCAGAAATACAGGCCTTACTGTTGGACTGCTAGCTGAGAGTTAGAAGCATGCTGTGCTAGACCCTGCACAGTCACAGAAATTACTCTCCTTTCTCAACTGATTGGAAATCAGTCAGTAGGAAACACCAGAACTGGAAGCCTGTGAGTTCAAGTCCCACCTCCCCTAGGCAGCTACAGTGCAGCACTGCTTCTAGGTCTTATTAGTCCTATTAAATGCAGCAGGGCTGCTGACTTGCATGGTCCAAAATCCTTTGCTGTCACTAAAACACTCCAAGGTGGGTGAGCTCCTACAGAGGTAGTGCAGGAAACCCAGTGCTTACATTCATTCCAATTACTGACTTTGAATGGTAGGAAACAGTTTAATCCCTCAGAAACTGTTTTCTGTCTCCTCTGAGGCCTGGCTCCAGGCCTTCTCCTCCTCACTCCTCTTCACAATCTCAGGCTGTGTTCAAACAAGGGGCTGGAGCTCACAGTCATGTCCAACTTGCTGCCTTTCATTTTCCTTGCTGTGTCCTGCACTCCTGGGAGTGCTGTATCCCTGGGTTTGGCTCAGTGACTTTCACAGGGCAGGAGAAATCTCTCTTCTCTTTCCAGAGATGTCCACCTGACCTGACCTTTTTGTTCACTGAAGAAAATATAACGTGTAACTGGGAACATACAGATAAAATGTTTGTCTCGGAAAGGAAGCTTTTACCTCTTGATAGTATCTGTTTAGGAGAAAAGCGTTCAGGAGCTGTAATGGGCCATGATGGGAATGTCCACTAATTACCTGACAGCTGCGGGCAGTGAGAGTGGGTGCCACTTTTGGTTCCATCTCTTCTGCTGGCTTTGCTGACAGCCCCTCTTAGCCATCTGATTTCCTAAATCAAAAGAAGCCTTTTCTTTATCCTAGATCAGCTCTCTGCCAGATTGAGTTGAATTAGCTCACTGGAGAGCTGACCAAGGCTGCAGGAGCAGGGAAAGATGGATAGGCTTTCTTAGTTGTAGTCAGCTGCTCTTTCAGCCCATCTTTTCTGACTGCACCTTAAATGGTTATAGTGGAAAGATTCATCACACTTTGATGTTAAGCAGAGGCAACCACGATCTTCCTGTTGCCTGGTGGAGCACGGAGCATAGAATTGGAAAGATACTTGCAAGGTTATCTTGTTTCTCCCATTGCAGGGCATATTCTGTTGTCTTTCAGCATTGCTTAGACTGCAACCTCTTCAAGGCAGAAACCTTCCTTGCTGATGTCAGGACTCTTGCCTTGGCTGCCAAACTCTAACTGCCTTGACCAGCCGCCGCCTACACCTTCTGCACAGTGACTCAGGAGCTTTATTTCAGCTCAGGCTTGGGCCCACACTTAAGCTGTATCATAGGTACAGCCTTATTTCCACTTGTTTTGCCTCAGAATGTCACCAGACAGACTCTGCTTGTGGAACCCTGCTCTGCCCAGTCCACACTGTGTGGCTAGCGAGGGTACTGCCAGTGTTGTCACCCCCAGCTCCCAGCTTGCTCCTTTGACATGGCTGGGCATTTGTGGTGCTTCTCTCCTAAACTTAAACTTAAGTTAAGGAAACTTCTCTCCTTAACTTAAACTGCCAGTGTGTGGAACTATAAGAATCTTTTAGACTTTTGAGCTGTTAGGAACTGCTCCCCCTGAGGTATTCAGTATCAATATTCTGCCTCCTTTAAGCTCTGTGGGAACAGTACTGCTCATCTCTCCTCAGTCTTTTCTAGCTTTGATAACAGGATGATCTGAGATGCGTAACCCAGTTTTTTCTTCAGAGGAAAAATTGTGACAGCAAGGCATTTATTTGCCTGCTTGTTGAGAGCGTGGTGCAAATTAATGTGTATGTGAAGCTTGAGATGGCAAGAGAAAAGAGGAATTAAAGATCACAGAAGCTGGAGGCAGATTTCAAAAGACCCTTGGAGTCTGTTGGAATCACTCCTACCTCTTAGTGTGTCTCACTAACAGCAGTGCTTATGTCTTTCTTTCCATGATAAGAAGGAAAGCTAATTATAAGTGGCAGAATCAGGTTCAAACAATCAAAAAATTCTTAAAAGAATTATGACTATTAAAGGCTGCATTATCTCTGCATTAGGAACAGAAAATATATGAAGTCAGTTTGGAAAACATTGGAAAATCTGTGTACCATTATAACCAGTGAGTTTCAAACCACTCCTCACCCATGAAGTAACCAATGACTCATCCAGCTTATCCTTATTACTCTGGTCTGTCTGTGGATTTGCCTCCTCAGTGAAATAACGATGGAAGATCAGTGTTCTGAGGGTGACTTGGTTTCAGAGAGTATGCTATTCTTTGTAGATGTTGTTCTACATTTCATTGTGTGCTTTTAATGGACATAATGGAGTCATAGGTCTGGGACAGTTGGACTTGGTATCTGAAGATGAAGGCAGCACATCTGAAGATATACATTTTTATCTTTTATTTATTTTTGTAGGTCTGATTGGCTCAATGTTTTCCATCCTGCAGTTTTTCTCCTCTCCCCTCACTGGAGCTGTATCAGACTGCTTGGGCAGAAGGCCGGTCATCTTGATGACAGCGGTATGTGTCTCACACTGGTTTTAGTCATGTGATTTCACTGTGCAGTTGAAGGCACTATGATCCTGTGGCTAGCACAGAAGATGGGAGCTTCAGTCTTCTAGATCTGGTGGTTGTCGACTACCTGCCAAGTCACTTGGTTACACTTCCAAAACAGATTGCTTAAACTGAAGTTCCCAGATCCATAATTGTACATAAAAGGCACCAAAATACCAGTTTCTGGGATTTTCCAAAATTCCTTACCTTTGTATATGAGAATCTGACTTCAGGTGTACAGTTCGCAAATGTGAGACGTAATCCCTGTATATTGAATTCCCCAAGTGCCTGAGGGCTGATCACTTCATGACCTGTTTCAGAGAGCCTGGGGTTTGTTGGTTAGGCAGTCCTATATTACTTTTCTTATGGAAATGATCATTCTTCAAGAAGTTTTCTCTCTTGCTAGTCAAAGTACAGCGCTCTAGTTACAGAAGCATGTACATACATACATGGTGGAACTTGGCAATGAGTGATATCCAAAGCCAGCTGTCCTGTAGGGCTGTGGAGACTGAACTAAAGAAATATATGTGTTTATGATTGATTATGAAATTTAGTGGCTAGAACTCTTATTTTGAACTCAAAATTCTCTTGGGAACAAATGGAACAGCATGTACTAAAGTGGTCTTATGCCTGGACTGATTTAGCTCCCTTTAGTTTTCCTTGATCTTCTTATTCTATTGGTAGTATCACAATTATATGGAGATTTTGTGGCTTTGTTTCTACTCTTTTGTATTGCTCTCCAGGACATTGCCCTGTATCAGTATATTCATGTGTGTCTGTTGTATAGTTTTTGGAGCAGCTGTTGAAAGTCAGGAAAACAAACAAAACAAATGTTGAGCAGCAAAATGTGCAGAAATAAGATACATTTTCCTGCCCTTTGTAAGAAACCCTTTCTTACTTGCAGATGGGTTTGATAACATCTTATGCACTATGGGCTGCATCTCGGTCTTTTGGCGTTTTTCTTCTGTCCAGAATGATAGGTGGAATAAGCAAAGGGAATGTCAGCCTCTGCACAGCTATAATTGCTGACTTGGGCTCTCCAAAAGCACGGAGCAAGGGCATGGTGAGTAACACATGTGAAATATATACTTGGCTTTATTGGTTCACTTTTAATTGATTTCAGGTGCTCAGGATGTCTTCCTCAGATGTGTGTTCATTGATCAAGTGAAAACATGACTTTAATATTATGTTGCTTTTGAAAACATACCAGGTCACTTTGCTGGTGAGCCCTCAGCCTTTATGTGTCTATGACTTTCACCTACAAGTGAAATGCAGGTGTCCTAGATGTGGAAACAACTACAGGCCTAAGTGTTAAATCTATTACTCCTGTTGATAACTTTAATCCCAATTGTAACAGCTGAGAAAATAAAAGATCCTTCATCTCAGAATGGCCCAATTTTGGTAACAGGAGCCCAGTTACAGGACAGCCCATTTTTCTAAGCTTTCTAATCTGTGGAAGTGCAGCAGCGCTGCCCAGTATGCCTCCTGCCTTCACTGGATGATGCACTGACTTTAGGATCTGGGCTCAGCGGGTGGTGGATGTGGTGTTTGGCTGACTGAGCAGCAAGTGTTACGAACAGCTGCCCTTTCCTCTTCTAAACAGCAGCAGACCAGATGGAAACACCCTACAGGCTGAACTTTGGCTGTGGATTGCTAGTTAGATCTTTTATTTTATAAAAGCCTCAGGGCCCCAAACCTCTATTAACAGCTCTATAAATCACTGTGTTGCACAGCTGCTCCTTGGGAGGGGATTTCACAGTGATAGCTAATGAATTTTCCAAACTATTTATTATAATCCTGGGGAACAAAAATACATTTATGGGGAAGGACAGGCATACAGCACCAGTAAATAAAATGGGTCACATCTTATTTTTAGGGCTCGAGAGCAAGTAGTTTAGTACAGCATGGCTGACATCCATATGGCTAAACTATTTCTTCTCTTCTTTTTCAAAGCAGAGTAGGCATGTTCATGCTGCTTTTTGGAAAGAGTCCTGACTGATGCTATTCCCAAACTGTGCTGTAGCATTGCCTGAGAGGATGCTGCTTGAGGAGGCTGAAACAGAACAGGACACATGAGCATGATCTCACCTCTTTTAGTTTAGTACTACAAGTAAAGTCAAATAGACTAAAAAAGCAAGAAAATGCTCTCGTGGGGTGGCACAAGTTTAGGTCCTGCATGTGTGAATGCATATGTCTCAGCATATCTCTTAAAAAAAGTGAGGCACATTCTGCACTGTTCTATTACACCCAGGTAGTTCTGAGAAGCCTCTCATTGTTTGCTATGTTCCTAAATACAAAAATTACCAAATCAGTTTAGAAGTGATAGACATTGTGGAGCTCTTGGAGCAGGTCCAGAGGAGGGCCACTAAGATGATCAGAAGGCTGGAGCACCTTTCCTATGAAGAAAGGTTGAGGGAACTGGGCTTGTTTAGCTTGGGGAAGTGAAGTCTCTGGGGAGACCTCATTGTGGCCTTCCAGTACTGGAGGGGGAACGGCTGTTTACGAGGGTGGATAGTGATGGGACAAGGGGAATGGTTTTAAACTGAGACAGGAAGGTTTAGTTTAGATATTAGGAGGAAGTTTTTTACACAAAGGCTGGTGATGCACTGGAACAGGTTGCCCAAGGAGGCTGTGGATACCCCATCCCTGGAGGCATCCAAGGCCAGGCTGGATGTGGCTCTGGGCAGCCTGGTCTGCTGATTGGTGACCCTGCACATAGCAGGGGGTTGAAACTGGATGGTCATTGTGGTCCTTTTCAACCCAGGCCATTCTATGATTCTGTGATCACTGTGTTTTCCTACCACGGTGCTATCCTTCCTTGTCCAAACAGTTTTACACTACTAAAGTTTATGCTGTGGCTGAAGGATCTGCTGGCTGAGCAGTTCCTGAGGTGAGAGTCATTCTTGCCTTTCTCAACTTTCTTTCACTCATAATCATATAAGGCATGGTATCCCTAGATATCCTTTCATCAAACTGCAGCTTCTCACTGCCACTTTGCTGCTAAGGTGAAAATAAAATGGGATATTTGGAAATAACAGCTTTTTCACATTCAGTGCTGTGCATTCCTTACATCCTCAAGGTGGTTACATTTGATGTTTACACTTCTTTAAGGCAAATAAAGGTCTAGTTTTAGAACTGAGCTAACTTAACAAACTGGGTCTATAACTGTGTCAGTGTCCGTTTGTCTCTTTGCAGGCAATGATTGGTGTTGCTTTCTCCCTTGGTTTTACCCTGGGTCCCATGATTGGAGCTTATCTAGCCATGGAGACAGAAAAAGGAGAAGTCTTCTACCTCCGTTCAGCACTATTAGCACTCACGTTTGCTGCAGCTGACTTGATTTTCATCTTCTTCCTGCTTCCAGAGACACTTCCCAAAGAAAAACGGGTAAGCAGGATTTGAGAACTGCTGAGATACTGGATGTAGTGAAGAAAGGGCTAAGCCAACATCTCAGGAATTTAGCTAATTCCTGGGACTAGCATTTAGTATTATCAAAGTGGTTGTAAGATGGTCTCACCTCCCAGCCCAGGGCAATATGAGAAATGTTTGTAATTAGCATGAATGATTAATTGCTGGTATTGCTGTGGTCAAAAGCTAATGGGAACCTGGGAGGGAGAGAATAATTTTTAAACTATGATTGGAATGGTTCCCTGGAGAAGAATTTCAGCCAATCATAACAGTGCACGCATCAGAGTCTGTGGATCTTCTTCCAGATACCCAGTATATATTAGAATTTTTTAAAACTGTTGTCTTGTCTGTGCTTGGTAATTTTGAGCTCTGAAGTAGCAGTGACTCTTATTTCTGAGCTGTTCTGTCTTCCACAGATAAAATATCTACATATGCTAACATGCAGTGACTTTTTGCATTTGTGGAGCTGAACACTTGTTAGCATTATGGTTTCATATCGTGTGACTGGGTGCTATCCAAGCTCTGTCTCTGATACAAAGTCTCTTGGAACATTCTCCTTTGGTGTGGGAGAGACTGAATTCAGCCCTTGGTATCTGAGTGAAACACTTGATTTGAGGTCTTCAGCTGGATCGATTCTTTCCTGTCATGCCTTGTTTCTAAGCAGCACTCACCCACTGAATCATGCGTGGTCTCTCGATGGCCAAAGGAATTTGTTGTTACTAAGTGCTGTTCACAAACCTTGTCTGCAATGCTCCTGCCCAGGCAAAACTTCAGACCTTCCCTGATTGTTTGCCAGCAGGGTGTGTCTGATGTGAAGTTGTTTGCTTGCGTACCTTCCAAAGCACTGCAACTTCTGAAATTCATTAATTAATTAATGTTTTTAGAGCTCTTCCATGTGTCATCTGTTCCCCTTTCCTATTTGGCTGTTTCTAAGCATTCCAAATAAAATCCTGCTGTTGGTTTGAGCTGTACATTCTGAGCTGATGGCAACATATTTATTGTAAGGAAGTGCTGTGGAGTCACGTTCTGTAACAATTCCATCTTAGCTGAAGAGAGAAATAGCCATGGGGCCTCACCACGTGGTTGTTGACCACTTCTCTTCCCATTTCATTATCCTCTTGAGAGTTCTACTGGTAAGCTATCTGTGTTAGTCAACATGACTGAGCCATGATAAGAAAATGAATACTCTCTTCCTGCACTTTGGACTGTGCCTTCATGCAGCAGCAAGTATTAAAAGAGGAGGATTAACAGTTCCCTCTGGGATCAGGTGGCCAAATCCCAGTCATGCTAAATGCAAGGTGTTTAATTGCTAAGCTGACCATGATTTGTCCTCCCACCTGGAGTGCAAGAGGAGCAGTTTTCTTACACTCTGCATGGCAAGGAAAAGGCAGGCGTGTTGTCTGCCTTCTGGCACTTGTCTGGACAGTGGTGGGGCAGGTGTTACTAGAGTGTCAGAATGGAGTGCACTGGAATGACATGGCTCTAAAAAGGGGGAAGTGGTAATGACAACCGGTAGGAAGTTGCATCAGTGATCACACATCTGTTTCCTTGACTTATTCTGTGTTCTCATGATATTTGTGTTCTTCTCAGTCCTCTTTTTATAGAGGAATAATAGAACACCCCAAGCTGGAAGGAACCCACAAGGACCTTTGAGTCCAAGAGGCTCCAGAAAAGAGCAAATCTTCCTTTCATTCATGTTGGAATTAACTTGTAAAACCAGGAAGGTGACGGATCAGGGTGAGAAAGCATGAAACATCATCCAAAGAGTTTTTGCTATCCTTCTTACTCTTTTTCCCACTATTCCTCAAGTTTTTCAGGTGAAAAGGGACCAGAGGCTTACATGAGGTGTCCGGAAGAGATGCTGCCGTGACTTGCTTGATAGAAGGGTTGAATGGAAACGTGCCAAGTAGAACTTGGACCCTTTCAGAGCTTTTGTGTTATTTTTAGCTAAGCTAGCTGCAAGCATTGCTGGCTTGCTAAAGGGAGGGTCTTACTTTTTTCTCTGCTGTTCAGCTACTCATGTAAGAGCCACATGTAGGGCCATGCAGAATCACTAGCAAATTCAAGATAAAATAAGGGTTCTTTTCTATGCATGATAATCAGTGTCTGAGTCAAAGGTTAAGGCTGCAAGGCCCTGGCTGCCTTCCCCATCTGGACCCACTGTTACTTCAGGACACAGTCCTTAATACCTCTGCAATGGAAGAAAGCAGCAGACACTGTGAGAAATGCCTGCTGTTCGAGGTGCTTTGGGTGATCATGAAATAAAACTGAGCAATTCTGGAATTGCTCAGAAGTTATGAAGAAGTTATGAGCATAGAGGTTAATCACAAGTTAAGACACTGCAGATTTTGAACCTGCAAAGAATCTAAACTGTACAGCACGTAACAGTCACAGCAGTGGGCAGCGTGTGCTTTGTTGCTTGGGGGAGCAGAATGCTTTCATCAGTTGTAAGAAAGTTTTCATTTATCAGTGGATGAAGTCATTTCTAACTTATTGCTTTAGGGCAAAGGTAGGAGAATTATAGAAGAAGTGTATTTCTACAGAGATAAAATCAACTTTGTAGTAGCCATATTTGTATCTGACATGACCAATCATTAAAAGACATACAAAGTGCAGATGTTTTTTAATACTGGCAGACATTCCTGAGGAGACTTACTTGCTACTGGGTTCTGTATGCAACACTACAAACTCTGTGGTGCCAACAAATGCAGGAACTGAGGATTGTGACAAGCCAGCTTCAGGAAATCCTCTTACAGACCTCATAAAAGCACGAGGAAACTTCTTCTTGGAAGTGTCTACCCTCTGCAGTACACACAGTGGATGGGAAATAAATAGCCCAGTTTGCCTTATGTGGATCAGCAGCTTTATGGCTTTACATAATACCAGCCTGCTGTATTGAACTGACTGCTGTGCTCCAGAGCTATGCTGCTGGATGCTCACAAGCTCTGTCCATCAAAACAAGACAGAGGTAGAGTTAAGAGCATTTTGAAGATTGATTTGTTTACAGCTTTCTTACAGAGCAAGCCCTCAGGCTGTGCACTGAGGTGAAGTCCCCCTGATAATGTGACCTTTAGTCTCAGCCTTTGAAGGGCAGTGTTTTCTGCCTTGCCCAGCTGGGCTGAGAAGGAAGCTCATCACATAAAGCCAGTGCAGTGCTTTGGGGGTGTTCACTGCCAGCTGTGACAACTAGAGATTCTTGAGTCTCTCTTCCTGTGACTGTCATGCAAAGTGACAGCCTAAATTCTCCTATTTCAAAGGGAGATATTTCCTTAAGAATTTGCAGAGTATTTTTTCTACGTATGTATATTTCATATTTGACAATAAAAATAAACAAAAAATTAAATTCTCAACAGATGAAAGAATAAGCATCTCCAGAATTGTTGATGAGGCACAGGAATAGCATTGCTGGGTACAAAATGAGGTTGAGCTGAGCAGTACTACAAAATAAGTTTTGTCCTGTAAGAAACCACACAGCACTGCTGTTCAGAATCTCACTAGAAATATCTCTGAAGAATGACTCTCTAAAAGTGGTATTTTCTGTTGCTTCCCCAGGAGGTGTCACTGGCTGGCTAAAAGAACCACCAGTGCCCACACAGGCTGTCACTTGATGCACTGCTACCTGCTGTTCTCACAGCTGTAGCACGCTGCAAATCCTCACCTTCCCATGAGCTTGCAGGCAGGTGTGCCAGTATTTACCCAACATGCATTCACTGGACAGGAGGGATGATGAGAAAAGCCACCAAATCAAGCCACCTTTGGGCTGTGGAGAATGAGCTGTTTCTGCTTTAAGATCAATAAGCACAGAAATGTTATAAAGCAGTAGATAGTCACTAAGTATACAGAAAAGTTAGGCTTAGTAAGATTATCACACTGTAAGGATAATCAAAGACAAATGGAAAATGCTCACCAGTGTTGGGGGCTCACAGTAAACTCCCCATGGAGCAATCTGCAGAAAGAGATCCTTCCTTGCTGGCAGTCAGCCCTTAAATGGAGTCTCAGAGAGGTGCAGCCAGGCTCCCTTCCTGGTAGCCCAGGTGAATTGCCTTCACCTGTGCTCCCATGGCTGACTCACTGCTTGCCTCAGGTGGTCAATCAGAGGTTTGGGCCGTGATCAACATTTCCCATACGCTGCTTTTTAGGGAACTCAGGGAAAAAGCTATTTTCTTTTTCCAGAGAAAGCTGCTAGCAGTGCTTTGCCTTCTGGTTATAGTGCTGGAGACCATTCTGTATTCAGAAAGTCTGGGATGTTACTGAATGTCACTCACATTTCAATAGCAGTTGCATTGTTTCATTTCAGGTAGTTTATTTATATATCAAAGCACTTTTGAATGTTCCTGTCAATTCCTTGTGGCAGTAAGTGCATCAGTTTTTGAAATAAACTTCTTTCTTTGACCAGGTCTCCTCTGTGACAACCAGGTTTCAGGCAGCAGCTGACCTGCTCAGTCCTTTGGCTTTATTTCGGTTCTCTGCAGTCACTCAAGGAAAGGAGGCCCCTTCAGATCAGAGTAAGCATTAGCTGGCTGTTTGTGTTGGATTGGATGACTTTTTGTATGTGGAGATGGTTTCTGTTCAGAGACTTTAGTCATGCAGTTTTGGAAGCAGCACTTCGTTAACTGTTCTACAACTCGCTCTCTTGATTTATGTGCTCAGCCTGGTTTTAGAGATCAGTGTTTTGAGGGCATCTGACTTGCTGCTCCCTTGTCCTTTAGGCAGGAGCTAGCTGGGGTAGGCTGCAGTAAGTGAAGGGCTTTAAAAAGACAGAGGTGTGAGTAATGGGCATTTGGGTACACTGGTCTGAGCTGCAAAGCGGGAAATTTCAGCCAGATTTTTCTTATTTCAGGGTATGGAGATGTGGGTTTAAGCTGGACATTTCCATTCATTGAATTATTTAAACCATGAAAAATAAATCAGCATTTGTTAGGTACACCTGGCACATTGGCTCTGCTTTAGCCAATCTTGTCTTGAAAGCAGCATTCAGGTGTTAGACTGCTTGCAGATATTGGTTAAGAAGAAATAAATCAGGGGATGTATAGCAGCACAAATGTGAGGCAGAGGAACCGGACTGGGTGAGTGAGAGCACTGTGACACAGGGAGAGATCAGGTTTTTTGGCCCTCACAAGAGGGGAGGAAATGTGCAGAAACCATTTTGTGGCATATCTCGAATGGATGTTTAAAGTGAAGATCCTTTTCCTTGTACAGTTATTAAACGTTACTCCACTATTGCTGTTATATTTCCAAGCAGTGCCTGAACAATACCACCATAACTTTTTCTGGGGGGTGTTTTCTTTATTTAGATCTTCAGAACCTCAAAATCTTGGGCCTGGCTTACTTCCTGTACCTCTTCCTGTTTTCTGGATTGGAGTATACGCTGAGTTTTCTTACTCACCAGCGATTCCAGTTCAGCAGGTATAGTATGCATAAGAGATAAATGTTGTTTATTTTATTTAAGATATTTTCCAAAATCTTAAAGTCTTTTATTTTCAAGTGAGACACTGAGGTTAGTAATAGGCTAAAAGCACTCACTGCGTTCAGTTCCACTTGGGCTCTGCAGGAAGAATTTAAGAAAAAATAGGCATGCTATTTATCACAACAGGAAATACTCTTTGAATTCATAACTTCTAGGACCTAAAAAGAAAGTCAGTACACAAGATTAAATTAAAGCTCCTGAATTAGCTACAGCTGGGGGAATGTACTAATTGATATGCATAGAAGCTTTTCTCTTCCTCCCCAGAAGAGTTCTTCAGTATCAGAGCACAAGAAGGCCAAGGATGAAGGGATAGCTATTGACCTATGCTGCTCATCTGAGTCCTGTGTTGCATATAGTGTTTGATTGCCTTTAGTCAGACACTAGAGAAGAAAGAGAACAGAATCCACTAAAAGAAGCTCAGCTTGAAATACTTTTCCTTCCAGCTCATAGGACGATTTCCAGCCAGGAACCTGATCTTACAGCTTGATTCCTCATGTTTGTCCTCATGTTTGAGTAATTCTCAGGATTTTGTTTCATCTCTCCATGTCTGTCTTTCATTACAGTTTGTGGCTTAACGAATGTGTGTGCAACAGGGAAAGGTCTCCTAGTATGCTAAGCCTGCATCTGCACAGTCCTTTCAGCATAGACACGCAGTGTGATACACAGCTTAATGCTGACTGTACGGGCTGTGTGACAGACAAGCTTGTTATAGAGGCGAGAACTTTCAGCTGTGAATATCCATGTGGTCAGGTAGCTAAGAGAGGTGAAACTGGAAGAATGACCTGAGGGTGGAGGGAGTGCTAATGCACACCTCCCAGAGTGATCCACGATCAGCACTGTGCCAGTGCCCATCCTGTGCCTTGATCCTCAGTCGATCTCTACGTGAGCAGTGACAGCAGTTGTGAGAAAGCAAAGTGCTCACTGCTCAGAAGCCAACAGCTCAGTGCGTACAGCAGGGGCTGCCATGGCACAGGGTGAGGGTTGGCTCTTTGTGTGCCACCCTAGTAACAGATCAGCTCCATCGTTGTACTCCAAGAGAGCACTGCAGTACTTGCTGGCAGCCATCCCATCTCCACATGAGATCTCAGCTGCTACCTTCTTTCTGTTTTCCAGCCATGGAAATTAACATCAGCTGTAGTAAGAGCTGTGCACTGCCCGTGTGAACACCTAAAAGCATTTTCTCTCTCACCTTCAGGAGAGGGTCAGCACTGCACCTGCCAATCCCAGGGTGGAATTCTGTATGCATGACTGTGTCAACTGTTTTTGCCTCCCTTCCAGTATGCAGCAGGGCAAGATGTTTTTCTTTATTGGAATAACAATGGCTGTGATCCAGGGAGGCTATGCTCGCCGAATAAAGCCAGGAAATGAAATCAGAGCCGTAAAAAGGGTAAATATATATGTCAATATTTTCTTTCTTTTCACTCACAAATCTGATGCATCCATTTTCAGTCTAAAGAGCGATGAGAGATGGTTGGAGGCTATAGCTGTGCTCGTCTGATCAAAAGAAATCTGTTTTCATTGAAATGACTTCTAGATGTGAATAATAAGCAGCTATTGCTCTAACTGAACTTGGGAATCTCAGAGGTGTTTCTTAGCATATCAGCTATGCTATGACTGAAACTTCGTGGATAGCTGCAGTAGGAAATGTGAACAGTGTCTGTGCAAGTTGAGTGAAATGCTGCGAAGGTTATGCTTTGTTTCAAAGTTTTCTCTTACAGTGTAGATGCTGAAACTACTAAAGCAGCTTCATGGCTGATCTGTCGTGCCTTTCTGGTTTTTCTTGAAAGCTCTTTCAGCTTATGAAACCACCCTCATCCTGCTCCCTGGCGGGCAAAACATAGGATATGCCCGTTGTGTCGTAGAGGAAACATTTCCCTGTGAAAGAAAGCTGGCACAGCCCTGCTAGCACCACTTTCTCCTCTGCATCCGCTTCCTCTACGCTCTCTGTCACCCCGCTGTGTTTGCTGCCACTGTTCTGCAGTTGATGCAAGCCGAGGCTCACCCTGCTCATTTCAGTACTCCTTCCTTCCTCTTCCCTGCACAGAGGGGTGTGGGTACCTTGCTGAGATCAGTTAGCTCAGCTGGCCAATGGCTGTTTGTGAACACATGTGCACTGTGCAGGACCTGCTGGCCCCTGGATGCTCATCCTGCAGGTGCATGTGGCTTGAGCAGCTCGTATGGGAGCTCCTCCTTTTGCTGTAGTAATTCTGGTGATTCCTTTACGAGCCTGTACTGTATGGCTTATGCGTCTTCTCTTGGCACAGCAGTAAGCCAGAGGCTTTAAAACTGAGTTATCAAAACAAGACATTCAGCGAGAGTGGAATTACAACATTCAGTTGTGACACGTGCAGCAGCCTTTAGCTCTCATAGGAAAAAAAACAGATCAGTTACGTATATGAGGCAGGGGAACTGGAGTTGTTTCTTGGAAGAGAGAAATGATGTTGGTTTCTCCTGTAGCAAATCCATTTCAAATGCCATTCCCCTCATTTTTTCTTCTTGGCTCCATAAGTACGGACTCCAAAAGCTCAAGGGCAGGATGTGATCCTTCGAGTCAGCCAGCTCTGCTGAGAAAAAACTGAGGAGCTGTAGTCCTATTGCTTGCAAGCTTCTTCATGTCTTGGTTTAGCTCAGGAGGTAAAGAGTTAAAGTGAGATTTCTGGACTGTTCAACTCAGCATGAGGAGGGGGGAAAAAGTAAATCACGTGAAAGAAGTGCCCGATCCGATTTTTTTCAATTGCAGAAAATCAGTCATGGGCTGTAACTATAGCCTGCCTGAAGGGGTGACTTCAGCACATGGATTGTCTGCAGTGTGATAGGGAGAGAACTGAGAGGTGAACTGTGTGGCCATCCAGCTAAATTTAAAATGTCCATTCAGGAAGAAAGGGCTTTCTGCTTCTGGTCGAAGTGTAGGGCATCAGCAGAAGAGACGTGGCAGCACAGCTGGGGTTAGGCTGTGACAAGGATGGCTTACATGTAACGCTGTGACTCCTCCATTCTGCAGGCCATTTTGTTGTTGATTCCAGCATTCCTGTTAATTGGATGGGCTGCAAATGTGACCCTGCTGAGCGCTGGACTGTTGCTGTACTCGTTTGGTGAGCTATTCAAAAGCACAAGGAATTTTTTCTGCACATTAAAAAAAAAAAGCTGCATGTCTTATTTCAACCTATGTATCAGAAGCTGATGTTTCTGTTTATTAAATCTAGAAGGAATAGTGTCTGTTGTTTTCTGATGCTGTTTGTATCCAAGGAAGTTGCCATGGTGACGGCTGAACGCATCCCCAGTGCTCCTGCTGTCCCATCTCACTGTGGGGCTCTTGAGGTTTTTTTTCCTTCTCTTTCAGCAGATCTTAGAAGAAAAATATTCACTGAATGCTCATCTCAGGAAAAGCACCGACAGAGCATTTCTTTATGTTTTCCATTATTCAGGGAAACAGCTACAAATCATTTGGGTTTATCTGTGATGGAGCATTGCTGAAGTGCGTATCTGGGAAAAAAAAGAATAAAAAAGAGAGACATGAGATATTCCCAGTACTGGCAACTATTGCTAAGCAGCTTCAAATAAGACTAATTATGAAAGAGGAAGACAGACTCATCTTCTGCACAATACAGCTTGATTTAAGAGTAAACAATCACAGAATGCATCTCCTTAGTGCCTTACTTGTGTAGGAGCAGCTGTGTGTTGGACAGGCTTCAAGATCTAGATCTTTTCTACAGCTCACCTTGATTTTGACAGCCTCAGTGAGAGCTGGTATTCATTCTGTGTGACTGTGCTTCTATGTTAAAAGCCTGGTCCTCCAAGCTACGCACCTGGGTGCAGCATGCCAGCTCAGCCATCCAGAAAGAGCCTCTTCTTCCCCTCTCTCCCTCCCCTGCCCCAGGAGTTACAGCAACACGTTTATCCTTCTGCTCTCCAGTTGTCCTTTCCTTCCCAGAAACGATTCAGCTTTGTATGCTGAAAGCATTTCCCTCTTGGCAGAGAAGGTCCCTGTTTCAGTAAGAGGGCAGTGCTGGCCGCACAGCTCTTGGCTTTTGTTAAAATGTTGTAACCTCTTCGAGTTGGACTTAACTCTTATTTCCACCCAAGGCAGAAGGTGGCTGCGGCTCTCATCCATGACTGAAGCCTTAAGCACGGCGCAGGGCCGTTCTGCTTACAGGCACCTCACAGTCTATTGGAAACGTGAGAGATTCCTTCTCCCTGCTGCCCCGAAAGGTCTGCAGCGAATTGGAATCGTCCCAGTTAGCTGCTCTGACCTGGCCGCCCCTTTCCCAGGGGCTCCTGGAATGGAGCACTAATGGGAAACACCTGCGCAGAGCGTTCCTGGCTCTGGGCTCTTCCTGCAGGTTGGCTTTGAGGGGGTGTTTTCATTACTGAACGGGATTAAACCTTATGATTCATTGTTGGTACAATGCCTCAGAGCTCAGCATTTTTCTCTGCAGTAGTAACGAGTTTGCACCACATGTTTGTCACTGCTGCTGGTAACTGAACTCTGCTGTTCACTGACAGTCTGTTTTGTGGATTTTTCCAGCTGCTGCCATTGTTATCCCGTGTTTGTCTGCAGTGGTTTCAGGCTACGGTGAGTGCTCGTTCTGGGGGGCAGCCCTCAGTCACTTAATTCAACTTTCTGCACAATGGGCTCAAATGAGGAACTGACCTCAAGTTTTGAGATGCAGCAGCAGGAACTCGGGTCCTTGTTACACCTCTGGTACAAAAACGCTGGCCGAGTGACTCAGGCAGCTTGGCTGAAGTGTCCCCCTCCTCCCAGCTGCAGTTACGAAGAGGGAGATCATTCCTCCTTCATTCCTTCTTCATTCCTCAGAGAAGATGGGGATGTGTGGTAGTGGTTGCTTCGTTACCTCACAAAGCAGACGTAGCTGTGTTGGCAGCTGTAGAAGACAGCTTTCTTCAGCTTTGGTTCATAAGCAAGGTTGCCACACTGCAGTGCTGGCTGAGGGGAAAAGTAAGGTGATGGGATTTCCTATACCTGCACTGCCTCAGCAATTCCAGAACTGCTCTGAAATCTAGAGAAGCAAATGTAGCTTTTCTAGATAGAGTAAAGCTTTTTGTTGGTTTTGGAGTGTGGGCTTGGTTTTTTTGGTCTGTTTGGTTTCTGGGGTATTTTTTGTGAGCAGGGAGTCACAAGGTGGCCGTGGACAAGCACGCTTGACAAGTCCTGATGTTTTGTTTTAATGAATGTTTACCTTAGGTGAGAATGAAAAGCACGGCTCAGGCAGTAAGTGTGAAATGAAAGGAAGAACAACAGCATGTGGGAAATAAGTCCAAAAGAGCTAGAGCAGTACCCTGCCCTTTACGCTGTCCTTGCCCCAAGCAAATCAAAGCTCCAGGCTGACTGATGGCTCTCTGCTTGTCCAGGTTCTGCCAGCCAAAAAGGAAGAGTCATGGGGATCCTGAGGAGCCTGGGGGCCCTTGCGAGGGCGCTGGGACCTGTCCTGTCAGCCACGGGTGAGTGGGGCTGTGTGCTCCAGCCAACACACAATGGCACTGTAGGTGCCTGCAGCCCGACTGGGGAAGAAGGGAATGGGGAACCACAACCCCTGTTCCATGCAGCGTGTCCCAGCCTCAACTCTGAGCTCAGTTAAATCTGAGAGAGGTCGGAGCCACTTTCCTGACCATGGGGACAAACAGCCGCCCTGCGGTGCAGGCAGTGAGCTTCTGGAAGGGAAGGGACAAACTTCAGACTATGGCAAAGCTAAGATGGCAGAACAACTGCAGGGCACAGCACGTGTAGTGCCCTTTCCTCCAACTCCAAGCATTAGATCTATGCACATCTCATTGGAGCAGATCAGTAGCAACAGCATGAGACACTCAGGAGCAGCAGACAGCTCTGACCAGGAGCAGCTGAGGAGCATGTGCTAGGGACAGTTAGAGCTGCCCCGTGACTGAAGCGGGTAAGTGAACAGGAACTTCCCCTATTTCTATACCAAATGAAAACACCCTATTTAAAACAGGTGTTTTTTATCGTGTTGTTTTGTATTGGAGGAGAACTATTGCCAGCAGTACTATTAGCCATCTCCTGTTTATAACGTGCAAGCAAGAGCATGCACTAAAGATTCAGTGGTCATGGCTGTACTGGCACCTGTGTTCTCCATTTTATCAGCAGCTCTGAGTGCTGTTCACGTACGTGCAAGGACAGTTATGCTAAATATAACAAAATCTGTTTCCTTTTCAGTTTACTGGCTGGCAGGGGCAGAGAGTTGCTTCACCATCTGTGGAGCTTTTTTCCTCATCCCCTTCATTTTACTCGGTTCTATCAAACAGCAGACAAAGGAGGAGTAGGCAAAGGCAAGAAGAAACCAGAGCTATCACCAGTTTCCAAGGACCTCCCCACCACCCGATTCTCACCACCTGAGTCCACTGACCAAACTGGGAGAAGAGGATGTTGTGGAAAGCAAGGTGCAACGACCACATGCAGTAACAGCGGGCTGCAGATCTCTTATGGCCTCCACAAACACTTCAGCTGACAGCCTCACAACTGCCTTGGCCAGTTTTGAAAATGAAACCAAAAAAAAGAAAACAAAACATGCTGCAGTTTAGAAAAATATGAAGACCATCAGACGAGGCTTGGCAAGCTGAGACCGGCCTTACGGCAGCGCTGCTGCACACCGTGCCCCAAAACGACAGCTGGACATCAAGTGCTGCTGCCACCACACTGCAGCCCATAAGGAGCTGCTCTCTGCGCATCTCCTTTGCCATCAGCACAAGCCTGGTGAACCCCACTGCCCAAAGCCTCCACAAAGAGGATTCTTCTGCCTCCAGCTAGCAGAGAACAAATGTACAGGAGCTGTCTGACAGACACGGGATGCTGCACTGCCAGTGATGAGAGCCGCACAAGTTATCTGTCAGTGGAGCTGGTAAGAGCCGTATCAACTGCCTTAAAACCTGACAACCAAAAAGAAGAGCAAGCAGCACGCTCCAGGCTTCCTGAGCCTGACTGGTACTTTGGTCTTCAATGGATTGGTTTTACTGCACTTAAAATTAAATTGAGCTGTTTTATATTTCTGGTACTGCATGTTTTTTGATGACCAACCACTGTTCGTTTACATTACAAATAAACTGTTACATTGTGCACTCATCCAGTCAGTAATCAGTGCAAACCCAACACTTCTACTATGATTTGGCACAGCAAAACTGGAGTCCAGGAGCCCACAGCAGGGACCAGAATCCTCCAGCAGCCAACAGTGCTTCCAGCAGGGCTGGGGCAGGTTCAGCAGAGGTTGTGCTGGAAGGCCAGGGGAGGGAAGGGGTTTAGGGGAAGACGAAGGACCCCTCCACCTTCTCACCACACCCACCTTCTATTTGAGCTCAGCTGGTTCGGCTTTTTAGGGACCAGTTCCTGCCAACTGCTCAGGTAGAATGCCTGGGAAGGAAGCCCTGCAGGAGCCAGTTTAAGTATTGTTTCCAAGAATACATTAAATCAATGATAAATGACTAACAGAAAATGGAGCTAATTAATTAAATGTTCAGGTTTACAGCTGTAGAACAGCAGAAGTTTTGAAAGCAAATAGGAATGTGCTTTTTTTAAAGAGTTTTATTTGTGAGTAGAACTTAATTGATACAAGAAAAAGAAAAATACAGGACTTTAATTTGCCCCAGAGTGTGTAACCATACCATACATGACTACGTTTCATTTGTAATACAAAGAATTAAAAGAACAAACTACAAAATTTGAAATTAAAAGTCATTGCATATGTGGTCAAAGATAAATGGAGGGACTCCATTACTGAACTGAAACATAGAGCAATTAGTAATTTAATTACGACCCTGCAATAAAACACAATTTAGCAAAATAAGTATTGTATGCTTCCTAGTGTACAGAGGACATACAAGGTTAAAGTACAAGCTGAAAGCCATTAGTGCCATGCAGCCCTGACTAAACATTGCTGTTTAGGGGTCTCTCTGCACAGTGAGTTACTGCTGCTTCAGTTCCCACCGTACCCCAAACAGGCAAAGCTCCATTCCTCACAGCATTCAAGACTACTTGGAAAGCTCTTTGCTCACCTGAAGCCTTACAGCTCTGATTGCCATTTCTGCCGTTTTCCCTTCGCTGCCTGAAGCCAACCCAAGGTACCGACGCCCCAGGCCTAATGTAGGCCTTTCTAACCCCCAGCTGCTGAACCCATCTCTTCTGCGATGCTTTCTACTACGTGAATTGTAAGGCATTAAGTTCTCTGCTATTCTTCCTATCGACGTCGTCCTGCAGTGAACACCCACCCTGTTTGCTGCACGCTGCGAGCCAAAGCGCTGCCTTCTCCCACGCAGGAGTTCTCAACGTTTCTGCTTTAAAACCAGGAATGCTGCCACTGGGAGGCGAGGAGCGACCTTCCCTGCTTGGGGCTGGGGCAGTGACAGCGCCTGGGGGATTCCTGCAAGCCTCACCTCTCATCTTGAGACTACTTACCCTATTAGTGATAGAGCATGGCAGTAACTGGAGAAGAGTTAATTCAGTAGTGAAAGTGAGTTTCTTCACCATGCTACGTACTAAACAAACATTTATAGCAAACATCTGTGAAAATACATCCTTAAGAAGGTTAGCTGGAATTCCTGTCCTTTACTGCTGGCAACAAGAACAACAAAATAAAGAAATACCAGTTGTGAGGTTCTTTGTAAGTGAAAATAATATCGAAACAAGGTTCAATGCTCAGTGTAACACATTTACATTTTTATCACAGGAAGAAATAGTTGCAAAATGCTGCAGATGGGGTTTCTGTGCAGCAGGTCTGCACCTGCACCCAGGGTATTTTTGAACAGGTGGAACAAATCTGTGCTAAGGCCTAAAATGCAGCCGTCTGGGCTTCGCATCACCGCAGACTGATCTTTTCACTGCACCCAACAGCCAAATCACCATCTGACAGATTCTCAGGGAGCCGAGGACTGATTTCCCTCAAGCTGCAATCCCTGGACAGAGGGCTCCATCAACACACATGGCGCAGTTACTTCAGTCCTACACAAGGATGGCTTCAAGCGCCAGGTGTAAGTGAGAAACACTTCCATTTTGTTACTGTAGTCAGAAGTGGGGAAAGAGTGAGGAAGGAATGGATGGTCACAAAGCTTTACTGCTACCTGATCAGTAATCACAAGATTGCAAGCTTACATGTCAGTTCGAGAGCACATCCCCTGAAAACACCACTGCAAAAGCATCCTTGCTAGAAGTCACCAGTTAAGAAGAAATTTACTTATGACTTGGAGCAGAATTTTGAAACAGAACGCTGCTCATGGTAAGCAATTTGTGTTGCACTCTTAATGGCAAAAGCTTGGTTTTATCCTTCCGTAAAGCGGTGTAGGCTTTAAGGTATAAACAGTGATTCAATGCCTCTACATGGAAGTCATTTATATTTGCTTAGAAATTAGGGATCAGATCGGTGGTAGCTGCTGAAAACACAGGATTAGCACCTTTTTGGATGTTAATTTCTGGTTATAACCTTAAACGATCAAGCCATAACTTGAGGGGCTAGTTGGATTACTTGTTGCATTCATGTACATAATAAGACAAAACACTCAGTACAATCTGGTACATTCTAGTGGTTAATGAATTTTAAAATATGACAGTGTTTCTGCAGTGTTTGGCCTTTAGGAGTCACTCTTCTTTTTGCTCTTCTTCAGGAAGGAAGGAGTGCGAAACTTCTTTTTCTTTTTCGATGGGGACTTTCCTGGAGATTCATCACTACCTGCATCAGCTGCCGTCCCCTCCTCAGCTGTTGGAGTCGCTGGTTCTTCAGCAGGCTGAGGCTGGGGTTCCTTATCTGCTGCCGCAGGTGATTCTGTTTGGCTTTTGGACACGTCTTCATCGCATCTCCCTTCCTCCTTTCCTAAGGGAGGGAAGCTGAGTGCTTCTGAAGGCTCATCAGGGGTGAGATCTGGGAGGGTTTGCTTCAAAGTTGCAGCATCACTGTCATCTCTGTAGGTCTGGTCCTGCTGTGTCTCTAATGGACGGACAGAGAACAGCACAGTTAGCTCACCGTGTCCCTGGGATAGAGAAAGCCCAGCAAGTGATGGTATGTGCTCTCTATAAAATAATAAACTAAAATATTTACTTTGCACGAAAGCCTTTGTAACAGGTCTGTCTTCTTTAGCTTTCAGCACAGAGACAGAAATAAGATATTTTAAAGTGTTGTTTTTTTTCCTTTCTTCAAACCACAGAAGAGCTAAAGCTGGACTCACTCTGTGGGCATCGTGCAGCAAGAACATAACTTGAGACTTCTCGCTTGTGTCTCATGTAACATTTGCAAGCAACACGAGACTTAAGTACAGTAAGCAGGAATTGAACCTACAGTTTTCACTGGTATTGAAGACAGCATCACGAAGTTCAGCATCTTGATTTTTTATTATTATTATTATTATTATTTTTTAACTTGCTGGGATAGCAGTAATTGCTGATTTGTAACTACTGTCCACCGCTGGCTTGCCAGCTTTGAACTGCGATACACGGATTTCCATAATGTTCTTCCATGAGAGCTAACAGATGTAGTTTATTAATGTCTTATCCTATCACAAAGGCTTCACTGCTTTTGCAAGATATGTGAGTACGAATGATGGACTCTTGTCACGTAAGTAAAATCCATGTAGTTTATCCAACTGAAAGAGCTCAGCAGGTTATGCGATACAGCAGCTCTCACCCCTGGATGAAGGAGGATCAAAAAATCCACGTCCAGAGGTGAATTTCAGCACTACACTCCAGCCTGTAGCACCTCTCCCATGAACCACCATGCTTTACACAGGTTCTGTTGAAAGCTTTCCTTTCTGCATACATAATTTAACAACTATCACATCTAAAGTTCCCTCCCTGCGCTGAAGCTGAGAAGTGTCTCCTTTGCGGTGTCAAACACATCTCCACTCATGTTATGTAAGGAGAAATCTGGAACAAAATCCAGGCCATTGGCATTGGCAGGCACAAAAGAAAGGCATCTATTTTTTCCCCAGTTTGAAAGTTCTATTATTGTTGGTTTTGTCTTCAGAACTTCATCTTCAGAACACTGAAGGCTTTCAAAAGAATTTACAGCAAATAGTTTATACTTTCCCATTTTCCCTAGGGAAAAAACAAACCGTCCATTTCATTTCTGCCAGACAGACCTGCAATCCTACTCCTCATCACAGGGCTGTTCTGTGAACACCTGCAGGAAATCAACCTGTTTTCCCCAGAGCACCACAGCCATCTCAGATGTTAAGCAAACACAGCAAACCAGAGCTCAGCTCCAAATGCTCCACGCACGTTAGAAGTTTAAAGGTTGCAGTGCGAGAAGGGCATAAAACAGCAAAAGAGAGAAAGCAATTCTATTTACAAGCTGTCTCCTGAGGCTCTAGCCTAATGTGTACAGCTGTGTCATACACATGCACAGAATCATAGAATGGCCTGGGTTGAAAAGGACCACAATGACCATCCAGTTTCAACCCCCCTGCTATGTGCAGGGTCACCAACCAGCAGACCAGGCTGCCCAGAGCCACATCCAGCCTGGCCTTGGATGCCTCCAGGGATGGGGCATCCACAGCCTCCTTGGGCAACCTGTTCCAGTGCATCACCAGCCTTTGTGAAAAACTTCCTCCTAAGGAATGAAGCAGCACCCACAGCTCTCTGCTGCCACTACCACCTTCTTGGATTGGACTTCACTGAAAGCAGCAGCCTGGTTTTTAGAACAGGTGCCATATTTGACCATCAGTCAGATTTGCCATTTTAGAGCTTCTTACCGTGGGCACCTGGGAAGCTCCAGGCAATGAGACAGCATCTGCCAGCTGGCCTAAGCAGTGCATAAATAGAACCAGTTTTGTAACTTGTTAATCCAGGACCATCCTTCCCAGATTGCCAAATTACCGGCATCTCTACTAAACAGATTAGTGTGAAGCAAACATCTGCTCCCTGTCCATCTGGCTCACTAAGGGCACTGCTTTACCAAATTAGGAAGATTTATCAATTAGACAAAAAATTGCTGCAAAACCCATTCACAGTATAAGAATGAAACAATACCCCAGAAGTTTCAGAAGGTGTTCTTTTCTCCTGCCCCCTTCAGAACAGTCAGGCCTACAGCCATTCTCTCTATTTTGGCATAAGAGAGCTTTGAAAAGTAAAATTAATACTTTTATTTACAACCAGCATTTACGAAAATAAAGGTTTCTGTTTTTAAACACAAACTTACGAGGACAAACATACAAACTGGGCTATAACTGTCAACATGAAACACTTTTCTGACTTCAGCCACACTTTAACAGAAAGGATATGAGAAAAAACTTGAGGAGTGCTTGTAGACAGAGAACACTGCCAGCCGGCAGAACTTCTGCCAGCCAAAGTTGTCATGGCCTGCAATTTCAATTGCTTCAGTCTCTAAAATAAGCATTGTATGTTTGTCCTGCAAAACTTCTATGCCTAGAGGAGTCCGTAGAACAGCACTGTGTTTAAAAGAACGCTCCGGTTTTAGAAGCTCATTAGTAGCATCGCAGTTTTCTGCACTGTAACTTAATATTCGTATCTATGACAAACACACTGACTTTCGGATACAACAGGACACACAAATGGAGCGGGCCAAACATCCTTGTTAATTTAAAGTATAATCTGAGGCAGCCCTGCAGAGCCGGCTGAAACAGCTGTCGTGTTGCTGCCACCAAGTACTTGCTGTCATTCCTTGGCAGCCAGGCTGTGAGCAGTTCCATTTCCACTTCCACACAGACCCCTGCTGGATTATCAGTTTCAGCCCATCTCAGTGGCAACACTGTTGCTCTGGAGTACACAAGGCACTTTCAGCACACAGTCTAAGTCAGGCAGCAGCAAACTTGGGGCAGAACTCTCAGACCTGCTTCAGCTACAGCTAGGAGACAACTTCAGACTATTCCTTTTGAAACTGTAAGGAATCGGACACAGGTATGGAAACACACAATGTCACTTCTGCAGCGTCTTTCAAAGGAGAGTGCATTGTCACACAGGGCCCATAACTGCCTAGGACTTCATGAAACAAAGAAATCAGGGCCTCAGCTGAAAAGCTGCTTTTTAAAAAACACACAGCAACAACAACAACAACCAAAACGTAGAAACAAAGAAGCAAGAGTGAAGCAAAGCACGTAAGCCAGTCAGAGTATGGAATGATACTTACTATGGTAACAGGTACTCTTTAGCATATCCATCTCCTGTTTGTAACGCAGCCACAAGAAGAAAAAAGCACAAGTAGAGAATCTATGCATTCATCACAGCCATTGTGTTAAATTAGAAGAATGGTTGCAACCATTCTTATAGAAACAGAATGAGATGAAGTAGTGAATGAAAGACTAACAGACAAGTGATATATTCCATGTACGAGGTAAAGGAAACAAGACAAAAATCAGATTACACCCGTTCAAGAATGTTATTTTATCCTTTTGCAAGGAAATTACAGACTCTAACAGCCCTGTCTCATTTCAGCTTTAATTACCACGTAAGGTTAGCAAATAATGAAACTAATATGGAAACTGAGTTGGAAAGTTATTTACTGAGGTGTAATCCAAGTACAATAACATTTAAGAAGTGTGCAATCAGTGAAGATTTACCAAAGCATTTGATTTGTGTCTGGCTCAGCACCAGACTTTTCATTTCATAAGAGCAATTCTTTCTTGCAGAAAATAGACCAAAAAGATAAATCAGTTGGTAAACACAACCGATGACAAGGCAATTCTGCAGGGATAATTTTGTCTTTATATTAATGCACACTTCTTTATTATTGTAAGCAGAACTCCTGTTACAGGTCAGTGTCGTATGTTTTAGGCAGTATCCAAAGAATACCAGAAGAAATTGACCCTTAGTAGATAGTAGTTGACAGATGTTCATGCGTCAGTCACCAGCAATGCAGTTAGTGGCTGCCCCGGCCCCCAGAGCAGCACTTACCTTCCTCTGCCTTCATGGGGGTGCTTGGGGGCGTGCAGGCTGAGCTGTGCTCAGGGGGGCTTCTCTCCTTCTGTTGTCTGCCGTCTTCTGAAGGTTCTGCAGAAGGGACAGACAGACACTGAGAAGGCACACAAAATATTTCAGCATGGGAGGACACCAATGTGTCCTTTTGCTTCATGCACACGAAATCTGAACACATTTTTTTCTGAATCAACATTCTGTCAGAATATTAAATACCATCAAAACAAGCAAAAGAAATTTCATATCGACAAAACTGTTCAAGCCATGGTTGTGCTTGTTTTTGTTCTGTTTTTTAAACAAAAGAACATGAATGATGTAATTGTTTATGATCTGGAACGGCACACTGTCCTAGGAAAATTCATGAGAAAGATCACTAGGAAGTCATGGTCATAAATATGAGGGGAAGTGCTATCAGACCAATCCAAGACAGTGCTCTTTTGCTTGCTTTGAATGTTCTGCTGAAATTTGGAGTAAACAAAGTTGCGTACTAAGAGCTAAGAATGAAGGATTGCACAGATGATCAGAGAAACATGCAGCAATCAAGTGATTCAAAACCGATTTCACAGTGGTTTGCTTATTTGCTATTAGTAAGAGGGTCCCCTTGCTGCCAGCTTGAAACAGCCAAAAACATTAAGAGAGTGGTACATCATACATCAGGAACAGCACAAAAACGTTGCTCCGGGCCATTCACCCAAACAGTTATGAAGTGAAATCAGTCCCACAGATAGGATTCAAATGACAGAATCTCCGCATGATGTACAGAATTTGCTCCTTAGATTGCAAGTGCAACTGTGCCATATTCATAATACCTGAGGCCTGAGCCAAAAGGTCAGGATTGGACCTTAATGCTTTGATCACTGCCGTGTGAAATTCCTTAAGGGAGGAATTCAGCCCATCTGGCTCTTCTTGGCTGACACGTGTGATCCCAGTCCCCAGAGAATCCAATACTTGCGTAACTGAACATAAAGAGTCTCCAGGGGTTCCTACATTTTCTTATCAAGAAGCAGAAGCAGGGAACACACACTGTTAAAGACATCACACTTCTGCCTCCTGCATCAGTTTCAAACCTTAACAGCAGAAGACAGAAGCACTGTAAAACTTCACACAAGTAAAGCAGGATAACTCCTTTGGTGCAGGATAACTCCTTTAGGTGCAGGAACAAACTTGCTCTGCTAAGATTCTCTCATCATAAGCGCCTCTTTTGCTGGGGAAGTCCTCATGATGTGTCATTTCCAAATACACATTTTGTTCTGTGTCTTCCCAAATCAACAGATTCTCAAATCCACAAATGTCAGCAAGTTAGAAAACTGTAGCTTTGCCACTAAAAGCTGCAGCATCATCTCACCCCAACCTCAACTACCTCTGGTGCCAAGGGGAGCACAGCAGAACAGAACAAACCACTATACTCTGCAGTACCTAAATGTGTTTTAATGAAGATTCAGGCTTTCAGCTTCCTAACAGCAGCAAGTGACCATACTGAATGCCCCAGTTTTCCTACTAGGATAATTTTTCAAATCAATTTGATGCCTTTTACCAAATACGCTGTAACACTTCCATCGCACTTTCTATCTCAAATATTCTTTTAATATTCTTCATACATACTGGAAAAACTGTAACACACAAACAGAATAATGTATCCATAGCCTTTGCAGACAATCCATGTTCCAACGACTCGTAAACTTGCTTTTATTACAGTCTACCACAGAAAAAACACGCAGACAAACCAACCTTCTGGTCCCTTCTGCTTCCTTTCTACTTCTTTGCGATATTCCTCCAGCTCTCGATCAGTGAGTTTGTTGAAGGGGTTTGGTCCTGTTGTGCTCACTATCACTTTGGGCTGATACTCCTTCTCAATTATTGCCTTCGAAGCAGTCACCAGTTCTCCCTGGCAGAAGAAAATTAAGACACATCTGCAACCCAGCAGTAACTCGCAGAATGCTGAGAAGTACAGTGGCTATAAAGCAACCAAAATAAAATGATAATCTGAAAAATGCTACGCTGATTTTCATTTATATTAATAATTTAAAAGAAAATATTCCATGTATGCTTTGTTTCCCCTCCTTTCAAATCTACAACAGGTTAACATAAAGGAGAAGGCAGGTGCTGACTACTTCTAGAAGCACACCAGTATGCCCACTACCCACCACTAAGCCCTAAGCCAAAGGGCAGCCAGCCTAGCTGAAGGACGGGGAAAATCACACAAGTAGCAAGTTGCTTTTCCTCCCCACAAAAGAAACAGGATAGTAGGCCCAAGTTCAAGGCCATGTGGGCACAGAATACCTGTAGAAGTTACATGACTCAGCTCATAGTTTCTGTTGTTTTGTTGTCTTAAAAAAAAAACAATAAGAGAAAAGCCATTTCTAGCAGCTACTGCATAACATCTAACAGATGTTACAGTAAAAAGCCATCTTGTGTGTGTGCTGTGTGCACTGGATTAACTGTTAGCTATAAGCAATATTAAGGTTAACCATAAGATTATGGGTTAGCATATTTACATCTATAATACTTGCCATACAAGCTACGTAAAAATGTTACACAAATAAAGTTAGCAATTCTAAGCATAACAAGTCTTCATGAACAAAGCAGCTGCATCAGAGACTCTCGAGTGGTAGGACTGCAAGTCTGTTTTCTCTGCTCAAATAGAAAAGACTAAAGCCATTGGCTTTTCATCACCTCAGACACAGAAGATGCTTGCCTGGATACCTGCTGTATCCCCCAGGTCACTTGTTTTAGCATTTGTTTTTCCAATGGACATACAGAGCTCTAGTTTAGCTTGACTTTTGGTTTGACATCACCAGTTTGGAAATGAGCCCCACGTGGTCTGCATCTCCTCTCCCTGTGAAGCCTGAACTGTCTTTGTTATTGAAAAGAGGTAACGGAATTCCATTACCAAAAAAGAATGGGGTATTGATTTGCTTCCGTCATATTCAAACGTTATTTGTATCAATACTTGAAAGAGATCATGAGAAAGCAGAGTTCAAAAACCACCCGGAGCTGAAAGAAGACACAAACGTTCTATATCCACGCTTGGTGGACAAACACAATGAGATCTTCACTGCAGAATTGAAAACTAAAAGAGGGCACAGTACTCTTCTGGATGCTAACAGCACTTCTGACAAACTGCCAGTACCAAGCTGGTCATTTTTAGTGCAATAAATAATTTGAAGCCAATGTATTTGTACTAGCTGAGTATGTTTGAACTGAGAGAAGTAATACTGAAAAAGATCAGGCAACAACAGAAACCGGATTAGGTACTGTGGTTTTGATCTCTAAAAGCAGAATTACATTAGAGACCAGAAAGGCAAAATTCACATGCTAAAAACTTTTTCCAGATTATCACACCAAATTTTGCTCAGTATCAATAATCCAAGACAAAGGTCACTAGTGAAAATTGTAAGTGTAGAGTGATCAATTTAAAGAGGAAAATAAATCCAAGTAGTAACCTGGTAAGGTTTGCAGAACAATTCCTCTAAATCACATAAAAATCCAAGAAGGGATGCACTGCTTCACAGAGAAGGCCACTGAGCAGCCTTCCAAGTCTAGTACAGAGAGACAGCAGAAAGCAGAAATGGAAAAAGTAACACAAGACAGAAGGAAAGGGAATACACAGGACTAAGTGCTCGCAGAGGATGTAGTACAGATCTCTGAAATAGAATGCTAAAGTAGACAGACTTTGCAGAGTCTGACCACGCTGCCTGGAGATTCCTACAAACATTTGCAGAAACTGAATGTGAAAATCAGTCTGGAGGTGCTTTGCGTACTGAAGAGGCTGCAGAGAAGGAATACATTTCCACACAGAAGACTGGCACCGTCTCATCAAACAGGGCAACGAAGGAAAATGAATGTTGTGATGATTCACCTGCATTAAGCTGATTCTAGCATTAGATCCATGACAGAAGTTTAATTACAGAATCACAGAACTGCAGGGGTTGGAAGGGACCTCCAGAGATCATCGAGTCCAACCCCCCTGCCAAAGCAGGTTCCCTACAGCAGGTCGCACAGGTAGGCATCCAGGCAGGTCTTGAACATCTCCAGAGAAGGAGACTCCACCACCTCCCTGGGCAGCCTGTTCCAGTGCTCCGTCACTTCACTGTAAAGAAGTTCTTGCGCATGTTTGTGCGGAACTTCCTATGCTGCAGTTTCTGGCCATTTCCCCTTGTCCTGTCTCCACTCACCACTGAAAAGAGTCTGGCCTCGCCATTCTGCCCCCCACACCTTAGATATTTATAGACCTGGATCAGGTCCCCTCTCAGTCTCCTCTTCTCAAGGCTGAACAGACCCAGTTCACTCAGCCTTTCCTCATAGGGGAGATGCTCCAGGCCCTTCACCATCTTCGTGGCCCTCCGCTGGACTCTTTCCAAGAGATCCCTGTCTTTTTCGTACTGGGGAGCCCAGAACTGGACGCAGTGCTCCAGATGAGGCCCCACCAGAGCCCAGTGCATGTGCAAATAGCTGAGCATCAACATTCTCTCCACCAGAGGAGAAATTACATCCAGGAACAGCATGTCTTTTTACTCCTAAGAACTTTCTCGGGGCCATACAGTCCCACAGAGGTCCAAGAAAGCAACGGTCAGTTGATACATAATACATCTTCATTCTGAACATGGGACTTCACATATCCAAAGGAAATTTTTGATTACCAATTTTGCATTTCTCCACCAACTTTACTGCATGACTGTCGTTCACCAGGCAAGCACTTCATTGTCTTCTCAGGGACAGACAGGGCAAAACTGGCACCTTTAGACATGCCAATTTGTCTCTTAACCAGACACAGTTCACAGTATCTACCTAATGTTAGCAGTCACACTTATACAATCTGACACGAATGCAGTGCCATTGTCCAAACAAAAAAGAGAAAGGAGAATCTTAGAGGACTGTTTGTATAAAAGTCACCATTAAAACAGTGCCACCTCTAAGGCAGAACTGGGAGGCTTCTCGCAAGAGCAAAACCATAGAATTTTCATTTTAAGGAAACAGACAATTCTCCTGTACTCATAATTCTCCTGTCGAAAATTTATGTGCATTTTTATCAGATTGTAGAATGGTTATTGGTGAGAAGAACCAGCATTCCCTCTCGGTCCAGCCAACAAGTTCAGTTAACCAGCTCTGTAACAGGAATAACACTTCATGATGCAGCAGTTTGCGCTGCGGCGCAGCAGGGCTTCTCAGAGCACTGAAAAAGCAAATGATGAGGCAAAACGGAGAACTTACTACTGCAGCCAGAAAGCACAACAGACTCAAAGCACTGCATGCAGACTGTTCACAAACAGGACTTTTTTCCAATACGATAGAATTTAATCCGAATCTTAACGTTAATTGAAAATGCAAAACATTTTAAGCCTTACTGCAGTTGGATGGGACTTTTTACTTTAATTGCAACTGAGTGTCTCAGAAATCGTCAAGAGAGGACTTTTAATTATCCGGTACTCAGAAGTCCCCAAGCCCCCGGTGTGCAGGTCTCCTTAATGCTTCCTTCCCCCTCCTTGTGATGTTTATGTGGTGCCATAAGCTTTTATTGCCTTTTTTCCACAGTACTGGATTAATTTTCAGCATCATCTTTTAAAAATTTTATCTTTTCGAAACTTTTCCATCAACAGGAAATTCTCTAAGCACTCATGTCACAATACCTATGAAGATAAGAAACGTAAGGAAATTGGCCACTCCTGTGTAACTGCCATTTGGATCTAATGTTAGACATTCCAGGAGGAAAGCACTTTCACCACACTACAAAGAGGAAACGTCACTTGGATGTTTAAACTCTAACAATCAAATTGAGAACTATCTGACCAGTTTCACAGAAAGACTATTCAACAGCAATGCTTGAGAAATACTACAGATGTCTGCAATGAAACAAACTGCCTGTGTTGTGATTACCAATGAATATTGATTATAAAAACCATACTTGACTTTAAAGTTATTATTATCAAGCAGAAAAGCTGCCAGAATAAAGAGCAGGCACTGCCTTGAAGTATTTTATTTACTTCTCTTCTTAAACCTGGAAATAGTATTTTACCAATTTTCCTTTCAGAATATGGATAAAACAAATTGTAACCTGAAAAATCCCTCAATCAAATCCTCACCATGGTATGTTGACCTGTAACCCAAACTGACTGATTACACGAGGAAATGCTATAAAGTCATGGGATTTGTAACAACAGCGTAATTCAAATTATTCTGGTTTTTTAATAGAAAAACTATTTTTATATTCTTACAATGAAATGCCAGGCACAGCCTAGACCAAGATTTAAGCTAAAATACTGCAGTAGATGAGAGACAGATGCTCATCCACACCCTGTGCTTCTGTGCTGTATCACTCCTAAGAAAGCCCTCCAAAACCTGGGAGAGAAAGACAACCAAGGGCTGAGTGTTTCCAACTTGCAAACCTGTTCACTCAGCTTCAAAGACAACCAGATACACATTTCTTGAATTTGTTCTGCATTTAAAGCATATTACTTTAAGCACAAGTGTGGATACATTCTGAAAGCCAATATATTTTGGATGTGTGGGGCTTTAGTCAATAATCTTGAAGTGGGAGAAGTTTTAAGGAAACGACTTCTAACAGCGTAGGATCACAACCTGACCCGTGATGTGACACCAGGCACGTGGATGCCTTTGGAATTACCCTGATGTAATCAAACTCACATTAAGCTAATTCCAAATGGACTTCAAATTAGAAAAAAAATAATACTAATAGCATGCAAAAAAAAAAAAAACAACTACATGCAGACCCTAATCAGCACCTTAATAGCAAAAATATTTCCCAATCAGTTTCTACAGACAAAGAAAGACAAAAATCCTTACAAGACACTTTAACAGGGTAAAGCAACTGCTTGCATAATTGCAAATACATAATCTGGAGATCCATCTTACTTTTTTCTATAGCTAAATCATGAGCTAACAGAGGGAAGAGGTCAGGGTAAGGAAGAGGTACAACGAAGGGTGCACAACAGTATTTAGAGCAGTATGACAGGGCAGTACCTTTCTAACAGACAGAGATTTAGCGGGACTAAAGGCCTGCTCTGTGAGATCGAGCCCTTCAATAGATTCCGTACAGTCTGAGAGGGGAGCATCCTGCAACAGTAAATTGAGTAAACAGAGCAAACCGAGCCCGGGCTTTAAAACATCAACCAAGAGCATTATGTGCTTGCTAAAAACATGCAAAGAAACAGTAACTGGTAGATAAAACTGCAATGACAATGAATTGACATGCACACAAAACGAAGCCCAACATAAGTAAAGCTATGGTCACAATAAGACTTGCCAAACTTCTTAAAGTGTACCACAAATGCGTTTCAGGGCAGTTACAGCACTCAGATGTACAGATTTTAAAATCTTTCAGGCGCGTTTAATAGAGTAACTGCATAGCTCTGATTCTTATTTTATTTTGAGCTATGATTCCAGTTGATAGTTGATGTCCATAGCATATTCAGATATAGCGCTTGGAAATTTACTGATGTATAACAGCTTTCTTCCCCCAGTCTGCTCTTCAACTAAAATATTATGTAAGATATGTTTAACACACAACACTTATTTGTAAGGCCCCATTGTAAGCCTGCTGTGCTCAAACAGATACATAACCTTGGAGAGCAAACAAACAAAAGTTGTCACACAGACCAACTAGTTTTGAACAAGAATCTAACCTACATAAATAAGCCTTCTGAATGTCATGCATTATGTTCAGCAAAAAATAAAGAAAATTAAAAAAAAAATAGGAGCATCCTCCACAGACATGCTTGGGCTACATGACTGAAGCCTCTTAAATTTCTGATCCTGAGCACTCTTGCAAAGACAACAGTGTTACCTCTAAGACTTACCTTATAAAAAGTTACCCTCTGCCAATTAAAGAATAATTTTATAGGGACACATTAGGTGAAAGAAGAGGACACAGTTGATTAAGCCAATGGTTTTAGGCATTTTGTTCTCTCACCTGTACAAGACTCCTGTCCACAACTACACCAGAAAGAACCTGCGACTGAGGGCCTGCAGTTTTAATATCTTGTAAATTTTGCTCTCGGATCTGGAAAGGAAAGCAGCAGAACACAGTCACGTAAACAACAGAGGAAAAACTTTTTTGTTTTGTTCAAGGGGTGGGTGAACCTGCCAGCAGGCTGCAACTAATGTAGACAGCTGTAGCCCTACCCATCACTAAACTGTGCTTATTAATGCCGGTTGGCACGTTCCATGTTTGTTTGTTTCACCACATTTCTCAGACTTTGGCCCACAGGTACCACAGCACGTGCTGTCTCTTGTTTTTTAGTGGTGGTTTGCCGTAAAATTGTACAGATCAAGTCACATAAGTAAAGAGAGAAGCACAGAGGTCACTTTTATATGTCTGTTACACATGATGTGTCCTTTACAGGTTGCTGTCAGCCCAGTGTACCACAATATCATCTTCCTCCAGAACTTACTGTTTGTGTAAAAATACATGCACACGTGTATACAAACATAACATTACTGGTACTTCTTATTTCAGAAAGCGAAGAACTATGAAGTCCTGCATCTTCAGTACTTGTTTCTGAAATATTGCCTTTGTCCTCAGGAGAGCAGAAGTTTTACATCTACCCTTTTAGACACTTCATTCAAGTTTTTATTACAACAATATTTCTGTTTCAAACAGGAAGAAACCACTCAGCAATTTCACTCCACCTCTTATTTCAAGTGATCATTATTTTACATTGCTGAAGCAGGAAAAGCAAAAGCTCTGTCAACTTCATACAAGACCTCTGAGCACAAATTTGTACTCCTGCCACAAACCCTGTGCAGAATTTACCATGACATAACACTGCCTCCTGTGTTCCTTATGGCCATCACTTAGAAGTAGGCAAAACATCCAAGAACAAGCTAAGTACTAACAGGATGCTGGTGTATAAACACCAGCAGCAAAATTACAAAACCGTGACAACAGTTTAAAGAAATAAAATGATAAAATGAATGTATTCAATGCTTTCCTGTTGGAAGACTGGTGACAAGAAGATCTGAAATCTGCATACTGGATAAAATACAATACAGAGAGAGAAATCTGTAAACTTTGTCTACAATTTCAACTGGTGAAATCAAAACAGATCACTCATATAAGAGTATGACTTTAGGGATTAAAAGTACTGCCATGAACTCTGTGGTGCTCATCTCAGAAGTATCTGGTCTGACAGTAACAAAAGACAAGACAATAGAAGTCTTCAAGCAGTGGACAGTAATACCATCTTTTTCTGAGATGACTCAGAACAACTAGGAATTGTTTCTGTATCTAGCTAGAAAGGAGGAAGGCAATACCAAAGTCGTCTTACTGAAAAAATTCCATCACAGTGAAGTTAGTCCACCAGCAGCATGCAACTTAACATAATGATAATGAAATAAATACAAAAAATTACTGCTATTACCAACCTTGTTCCTCATTTCTTGGACCTCCTTTGGATTAGTGTTCAATGGAACAAACAGGTTAGGGACAGCAGAGGTGGCAGTTCTATGTCCATCCTCTTTAGTCCACTGCAACGTCAAGAACAGTTGAACAGTCAGAATTGCTGTAATGGCTATGGACACACAGCAGCAAATTCACATAAGAATTGATCATGCATTATACATAACAGAGAACTGAACCAATGATTGCATTCTTCTATTTGTTTCTAAGAATATTTAAGTTGCTTCCTTCTTCAGTAATATAAACTGCACCTTCAGATACATTTCTAGGTATCAGAATCATTCGATTGAGTCAAGCAAGTAACAATAACAATAAAGACCAAAGAGCTGGTTCAGCTTGCAAATAGCTTCCACCCAAAGCGATGCACTTACTACAGCTATGTGCAATTCAGAGACTATGAAGACTGAGAGCTTTAAGCTCTTTTTCTGTGCACTTGACCACTCTGACAGCTGCAGGGTTTCATGTTTCTAGGCACAGTCTACTTCTGATTTTGTGAAGAGATTTATATTAATACAGGAGTAGGAGAACTCCAACAGGATTTGTTATTTGTAGGGACACTTATCAGAAATTTCAAAGTGAGTTCACACGCATTCAAAAAGGACACTGTATCTCACCCAAACAAAGTACAGCAAGATCCAAGACACGAGTTCTGAAACCCTGTCACTGCCATGTTCATTTTCTGCACTTGGTGTTTTTACAAAATAGCACGAGAGAGACAGAGAGATCATTGATTCAATCCTCTGGTACTCAACAGACATCAAAGCGAACTTAAAGCATAAGATGACAGAAGTATGAAAAGCAATGTGATGCCACTAACCAGGTTTAGTGAATGATTCTGTACTGTGAAGCAAGAGTGGGCATCACCAAAGTTTTGCATTAAAATCAGCTATTTCAGCGAAATGTTCTGTTTCCAGAATTAGTTTCTGCACAGACAATGTGTAGCTGTATCAGCACAGCAACCTAGAGGAACAGTTTGGTGATGTCGAATATTTTATAACTTAGAGCTTAAAAGGTTACAAAAATATCCCAAACACAAACTGTAAGCGCTTTATGGGTTCTTCATAAAAGGTTGCTTTATTTGATCAGTGCATTTAGTATGAAGCTGCCTTCAATTTGCTGCATAATTAACTTTACACCTCGATACGTTTATTATATGTGGTGTCCTGATTTTCGATCACTATTGCATAGAAAATGCACTCAACAGTAAAGCAAACCTGCTTATAGAGCAAATGCTATGCATTTTTCCTTAATAACTTCAAGAAATAATAAGATAGCCAGAAACTGTCAAACTTCAAAAAGCAACAGAATCTTAAAATGCTTTGCAACTGTAAAGTAAAGA